CCCCAAAACCCCAAAACCCCAAAACCCCAAAACCCCGGTTTTAGGAGTTGTGTTGAAATTTAGAAGAAGTGTATTTGACAAGAGTTTAAGAGGTTTTTAGGAGTAGAAATGTAGGAAATTGTTTATGAGTTGATTTGTTCTAAGATTCCTGATCTTTAAACAAAAACGGAACTTATAAACAAATGGATGATTTAAGCTAAGGACTACCCCACAGAGCCTGTTAAATTGAAGAATAATAAAAAATAGAAGAAAAAACACCAGATTTCATATGGTCCAAGTACTATCTCCCTCTAAAGCTCAATATTATCTTCTACCTTCCTTAACAATTCCATATATTGAGCTATTTCCCGATGCTATACTCTGATAACTAACTCCCAATATTCCCCTTCCTGAATACTCCACAGCTTTCCTTCCAACCAGAACTTTTGTACACACAAATAAAGCATAAATAAGCCTAGATAGAGTAGCTCAAATATTTTCCCCTTATAAAAGACATTTCTCAAAAGTAATTTTCCTCTGCCCCCTCTCCCTATTATGTACTATGGTAATTAATTTGAGCTTCAATTGAACTCCTTTCCAATTGACAGTCATAAAAGTCTATGAATTGAAGCTCTTAAGAAGCCTCTGCATCCTCTAAGGAGCTTTTATGAGGCTAGTTCTTAACAGATAATGGACCAGAGCAAGAATTCACCCTTGATAAGATTCCTAGAATTCAGCCTGAATAAGTGCAACTTTTTGTTATTTTCAAAAGAGAATCTTTAACAGCTAAAATTGGAAGGAAGTATCTTACAGATTGTCTACCACTTTGTTCAGGTTAGACATCTCAATGACCATGTGATTCAGCTGCATTAGTATTTGGATATCCATGTCACTAAAAGCTTCTTTACGCTTTCCCTTTCTATTAGTTCTGTTAGGCAAGAATTTGGGAAATTTTGTTTGTGAATTTAAAATTTGACAAAAATTTAAATGCTTAAAAGTTCAATATCAGATGATATATGACAGCCTTTTGGGATAATGCTAGATTGATTAGAATTAGTCTTTAAGCGGCTTAAAGCTTGAAAATATTACCAATGAAACCAGAATATTAAACTTCAAAAAGAACCTTAATCCTGATAACACCTGATGCGCCTAAATTAATAATTTTACTGACCCCTTGATCTTGCCAAAACTAGGTTTTTGCTTATTAAAAAACCTTATTGCTGTATCATCTGATCCATAAAGACCATAATCCTTGAGAAAAGGGCTTCTTTTGACTATATAAGATTAGAATCACATATTTCATGGCAATAATGTTATAAAAGACTGTACCAGGGTCTTTTTTAGGCTCAGGTTCAATAGAACTTCTAGAACTTGAGCTTAAACTCTCAGATTCCTTTGATTCATCCTTTTTCTGCCATTTTTTAAACTCTTTATCAACAGCAGCGAACATTTCTGTTTTTATTATTAAATTCTGTAGAAGATGAGGGGTTTTGGGGTTTTGGGGTTTTGGGGTTTTGGGGTTTTGGGG